TCTAATGAAAAGTACAGCTTTTGTCTTTTAAGACCTGTACTTTGCACGTGTCTGATGAATGCAGTTGCAATGAACCTATCTCCTAATGACAAGTTAGTTTCAGTTACAGAAAGATTTACTCTGCTCTCAAATATCTGCCTAATTCTGGCATCCTATATCAAATTTTCATAAAGAGCCATAATTACTTGATTTAAGTTGGCAGGCAAGTCATTTGTCTAAGGTACACCTTAATGGTTCATTGCCTAACTTACCTGAATTTAATCATGAACTTTAATTTCCGCTCACAAAGAAATTTTTTAAAAAACAACTAAATCTGAAAAAATATTAAACTTTAGGCAAATAAACTTTTTAGATACCATTTAAATATTAAAGTTGAAGTAGATGTCTTTCTAATCTATATTTTACCTCAAATCCCAGCTCTACCACCCAATAGTATATGCAATGATTTTCTTCATAGGAAATTTCCTTTATAGGAGTTTCTAATATGTTTAATTCTTCCTCAAATTAGCATTTTAAGGAATCAAAGATACTCAAACTCACATCCATGTTTCTTAAACTGTTTATTCTAGTCTCTAAAGTCTAGACTCGACAATCTAGACAGATTGTGGTTAAGAATGTGGGCTCCAATTTCAACTCTGCCTCTTATCAGTTTTGTTATCTTGTGCAAGTCATTTACCATTTTAAGCTTCAGCTCCTCATTCATAATATTATAAGGGATTAAAAACAACAATGATATTGTATGGGGTTGACAACAATACTTAACTTAATAGAAATATAAGGGTTACATGAGACAATGCATATAAAAAGCTCAGCAAGTACCTGGCTACTAGAAATTGCTCAATGAATTCAATTCTTCAACTATTTACTGCTGTGCACGAGCACTATTCTAGGCATACAGCACTGAGGATACAGCTACACTAATTGCTATATGCAATTCTGGCCCTTACAGAACTTACATTTCACCTGGGGGAGACAGACAACTAAAATTACATCATATAATATAATTTCAGGTAAACAGAACCATAACAAAGAGAAATTAAAGAGGGGAACATATGACGGTGAGATGTTATTTCACATATGGTAGTCAGAAAAGGCCTCTCTGATGAAATGACCTTTGAAAAAAGAAAATGAACTGAGTATAGGACAAGCCCTGTGTATACCCAACGTGTTTGCTAAATAGAGATGATGATAATGGGTAATCCACACCCTTGTTTACAACAATGCCATTCATCTTCTATGTCTTTATACAGGCTTTGGGAAACAGTATAGAATAAATCAGCCAGTGGAGAGTGAAGAGTAAATGGCTCGGGCACCCACTAGCTTCATTACCATGGGGACATTAAATAATTTCTCTAACTCTGTATTGTCTAGTTTCCTGTACTTCTGAAGAGAAGAAAGAGACTACTTTGGCCACTGTGCCCTCTAGTTAGGCATTATGAGGATATATTTTCATGGGTATGAGAGAAATAAATGGGAAGAGAGAAGTTGCTATAAACAGAAATTATATTAAGACCAAAAGAGCATTCTTTATGTAGGCTAAAAATGAAGTCTGGCAAGATGAAAATAAGATGTTTTATAGCACATTATATGGTCAGAGACATTAACTTCTTAGACAAATTAAATCAAGAAATAGATTCTAGTTACAAGACTAGAAATAACTTCTCAAAGGAAGATCCATAACAAACAATAACACCATAAAAAAAATCTTTATCAATTTGTTCCCTGCTGAAAATAGTCTAATTTTCACAACCTCTGTTTTGTCACTTTCTTTTAAGAGTAACATGATTCCTTAAATCAAGTATAAAAATATTTATAACAAACTGAGATAATGACTTGCATATTTCAAATATCATAAATAGATCAGGTTAACAGCCAGCCAGATATACTTTAAATTTCTATCTCATATAACAATTATATATAGCCCCTTAATCATCTATAACTTTCAGTTTACAATTATTTTCATAGATAGTACTAAAAAAAGAATGGGATAATCAACTCCACAGCCAGTGCTGAGAGCTTGGGAGAAAGAATAACTGGCCATGTAACAGCCCAGAGAATCTACTCCATTTCTCTAGGCTTGTTTCATGGAAAAGTTTATATAATGAAGGGCACAGCTTTGCTTGAAACTACACATTCATACTCCAGCCCAGATCTGCATTTCTATGTGCCTCCTTAGTGGCTTTGGTCTTGCAGGTCTGGCTCAGTGAGTAGACAATGGAAATACCTGGTTGGCTTGTGATATGAGATATCGATATCTGAAAATCCAGTTGTATATGCCATTAACCTCATATGGCTCCAGTGCACTAAATTTTATTTCATACTGGGATATGGGAATTTAAGCACAAAATTTCAAATGTACAATTAAGTATACCAAACTCCTGTCCTTTAAAGTGCAATAAGAGGGCAATGATGAAGAGGGGATGTAGAAAATGACTCATATTATGGTTTGAGTAGCTGAGTATCTGGTGTTACAGATTTCCTCTACTATCCGAAAGTTTGCTTTATGCCCCTTCACTTTTATGAAAGACCTGCCTTAGTACCTGCTCTCAGTATCCAAAAGAAATTCAAGAAAGATTTTCACTTTTGCAAAAGGCGAATTGCTTCACTTTACACCATTTTGCTTAGGAAAGGTTTCATACCAATGCTCTACTTTTGGATAGTGGAGGAACCTGTACCATTTACTAAAAAGGGATGATATATTTTGGACTTAATGGTGATTAACCCACTTTAAGAAAAATTTAGTTTTGGGAAAGATAAATCTGAGCTAGAAATATAAATTTGTAAGTTACTGATCTGTAAATAGTAAATGAAGCCATGAGAATAGAGGACCATAACTGAGCTCTTAGAATTCTGTAAAACAGTATCAGTTATTATTGATGGAAGAGGAAACACTGACAGACTTTTTTTTAATAGAGAAAAAATGTGATACCTGTTTCAGACTAAAAACTTTTATAGAGTTTTCTGCAATTAAAATGGGGGGTAGGGTGGGGTAGAGAAGTGAATGGAAAAATACTAACAAAGAATGAGCAAATCTCTTAATTCTAGAAATTGTGCAAGAAGGCCAATTCTTTAGTCATAGAATTAGTGTTTAGCAAATTCTGCTCTGCAATCTTCTCAAAGAAGATTCTCATAGAAGATTCTCAAAATCTTCTATGCAAGGAATATTAAAGCTCAGTCCCTCGAAGATTGAGTACTATAAAAACAAAGATAGACATTACGTTCTAGACGAACAAAGGAAATATAACAATTGGTTTTAATGTCCTTAGCTGAATCTGGATTATATATTAGCATTCTTGTGAATAACACGTGCTTCATATTAAGTCATTCCTAGATATATAAAAATCTCATCAGCAAATACTAACCTATCATATTTATGGCTTTCCTATTTCTACACTGTTCTTCATAGATAGCCCCCAAAGGAAAGGACTCTTGTCTCAGTTCCTGAAACATCAAAGTACTAAGAAGCTGAGCCAGCTCCATTGTTCTACTTTGATCCAATCCCACAGGTTTTGCTCTAGTAACACAAACCTTCCTCATACTCATTCCTTATCTCACAAAACTCTTAAAGCACATATAAGAAATATGTTCCGTGATAGGTCTCAGAGGTAAAAATGACCTAGAATAATTTCCCACCTAGCTCCTGGGCTCCACATAGGAAATTTATGATTTACTGCCTTTGAGAAGTAGTGTAGCTTTTTTTTTTTAACTATAGTTGATACACAATATTGTACTGGTTTCAAGCATACAACACAGTGATTTAACAGTTACAAACATTATTACATCCTCACCCCAATTAGTGCAGTTACTGTCAAAATAAAAGACATCACAGAAGCACTGACTATATTCTCCATGCTGCACTTCCATCCCCATGACCACCTTATATTATGATTGAGATTTTGTGCCCCTTTATCCCCCTCACCCACCCATTCATGAACCCTAAACCCTCCCCTATGGTTACCTCCAGCCACTTCTCAGTGTCTATGAGTCTATTGCTGTTTTGTTCATTTTTGTTTTGTTTTGTTTTTAATTCCACATGTAAGTGTAATGATATTGTGTTTGTCTTTCTCTGCCTGGCTTATTTCACTTAGCATGATACATTCTAGGTCCATCCATGTTGTTGCAAATGGCAGGATTTCTTTCTTTCTTATGGAAGAATGATATTCCACTGTGTAGATGTACCACATCTTCTTCACCCATTTATCTCTTGATGACACTTTGGTTGCTTCCACATCATGGCTATTGTAAATAATGCAGCAATAAACATAGGGGTGCATATATCTTTTTGAATATATAGGGATTTTGTTTTCTTTAGGTAAATTCCTGTAAGTGAAATTACTGGGTTGTATGGTACTTCTATTTTTAGTTTTTGGAGGAACCTCCATCCTGCTCTAAACTCCATACTCCATAGTGGCTGCATCAATTTACATTCTCACCAACAATGTAGGAGCATTCCCTTTGCTCCACATCCTCACGAACACTTGTTATTTCTCGTCTTTTGGGTAGTGGCCCCTCTGACTGGTGTGAGGGGATGTCTCATTGTGGTTTTGATTTGCACTTACCTGATGACTGTAGCTTTTAAAGTTCCAGTGTCTTATAATAGATTGTAAATTTAACATCCAAAATTAAAATTCTAACTTATTCATAACTGCTAGACATACTTTTTTAAGTTCTGCATCTTAGAATCTTTTGTAAACTAAACCTTTTTAAAGTCTGAATCTCATAAGGTGAAGAAAAACCTCAAGTCTTTCAAGAAAAACTGGTAAGGAAAAATGAAAGAACATACCACTTATAAAAATAACTCAGCAAACATTGAATAAAAAGGCCCTCTAACTTAATAGGACCCAAGAAGTCCCATGTTTCAACCGTATTAATACTAGTGGCAATCACACAACCCTTTTGTTTCCAAACTTCTATAAATAATCTAAGAAGTTTATTTGTTATGAAAAATGTTAACTCACAAAGCATTCTTAAAAAAAAAATAAGTACCTATATGGACCTACCTTAGGAATAGGATTCAGCAGAACCACGCCTGATTTCTTAGTGATGACCTGCTTTGTTGTGTAGTGATGATCTATAAGTTGAGGGATGTTTGAGAACCCAGTGCCTTCAAATCGGTACATATTCTGGAGAAAGAACGATAAAATAGAATAAATAAGAAGACATTGGTCCAGCAAGACTACATTCAGAAAAAATTACATTTCACTGTTGCACAATAATGTGAATATACTTCACACTAGTGAATGGGTAAGAAGATAAATAAGAATAAATAAATAAAACTCCAAGATGCTAAAAAATTTACCTTCCCATCAAGGAATTAATTGTCATAATGATTATATATAATTCAAATTCTTAAAAAGAAAGGAAGATAAACAAAAACTAACAGCTCTGGAATGCATTTTGCTGAAAAGATAGCCAAAGGAAATAAAGCATGGAATATATCTGAGTTAAGGAATAGAAATTAAGTTTACATATATTTAGATATATGTTCCATTTGATAAAACCTTCAAGATCAAAAATAATGTCAAAAGTTTGAGGGAGTATATCTAATATAATATATATTTTAAGATCCTCCAATGATCATTCATGTCCTATTAATCAATACATTAGCAACTGCTTTTTATATACTAGGATAATTACTGCATTGTTTTTCATCAAAAGCACTCAGTCATTTACACACCAATGCACAGCAACAAAACTGCTGATACCAGCGTACTCAAACCTCAGCACTTTTTGATTTCATAACATCAGGTTAAGTAACATTTTCCCAAACTGACAAAACCCCTTTCTCTTTCTCGGTATTTCAAACAGGCTTGCAGGTCAGTTATCATATGGATGAATTGACATCAACAAATTTAGCAAGGAAAAAATATCTTATTGGCTCTACTTCTTTATGGAGAAGCACAGCAATGCAACATATGTAGTAAAAGCTTCCATCAGATTGTTTCCAAAGTGCTCACCTATAAATATACAGGTGGTATGTACAGATACAGATATGAGTGTGCTCTATGTTGAGAAAACTCTCTGTTAAGTATGAACTTTCAAAACTACCTAAATTTGGATATTATTTATCCATTTCTGGAAGATTTTTCCAGTTAAAAGATTTTAAAAAGCTCCATTTTTCCATAGTATAAAATAAGATTTAATTTATCAGACTTTATATACAACTTTCAAATGAATATTAGTTTCAAGTGAGGAACAAACATGCATTAGGTTATTTTAACACTTAACTATAGAATATCATTCAATCAGGCAGTTTGTGTTAGAGTCAATCAGGCAAACTGCCTAAATAGTTTCTGTACATTGCAACCAGAGCCCTTATGTTGTATTAGCAATGATACTTGAGAATATTTCACACTGGAGACACTATTATATCACTAGGCATAAAATACACTGGTAAGTTTCCTCAGTGTTTCAGTTTATTCATTGGTGGAAAAAAAATGTTTTGACCTCTAAATATTAACTATGCAATTTTACTAAATATTAACATGCAAACCACTTTGCCTAGTATACGGCTCATGGTACACAATCATTAAATCACCATACAAATAAGAGAGCCTGAGTTACAAAAATAATTGACTAAATATTAACATGCAAACCACTTTGTCTAGTATATGGCTCTCATGATACACAATCACTAAATCACCATACAAATAACAAAGCCTGAATTACAAAAATAATTCCAAATCTGGATATATGAAAAGAAACATATTTAAAGAACACTTAAAAGTATATACATTTTCTCAAGGAATATTCACTATCTGTAAATAATTAAATATACTAGAAGGCATTTTTATATGAAATTGATAAGAAAAGAAGAAATGCAAGATTATAGATGCATACCATGTAAAAACAGCAATGATGACAATAATATTTCAACCAAATATATGCTATTATTATTTGAAAGCTGCCAAGAGTAGATCTTAAAGATTCTTCACACACACCCACTTTCTCCTTTTATATTCCTTCAGCCTACCCCTAACATAGCAAACAGAGAGGAACCTGTTATAACAGATCATCCCATTAATTTTGCTCAAAATTCTTATCTCCCGCAGAACAAAAGCCAAAGTCTTTACTATTGTATATAAGACTCTATATAATCTGCCTCCTATATTTTCTTCTTCCATCATCTCTTACCACTAAACGTCCCCCTTCTTCACTCCCCCTCAGCCACGCTCATTGCTTCTTGTTTTGCAAGCACACTATATACACTCCTTCTTCATGGCATTTTAATTTTCTGCTTGGAATAGTTCCTCAGCTGGCCTTATGGTCAATGGCTCCCTTCCTTCCTTCCAGTCTATCATCTAATGTCATCTTTGCAGAGAGGTCTACTCTGACCACCCTACACAATACTCAATATCCATTTTCTCACTTCAACTAAATTTCTTACCTTCTTTTCCTTACTGAATTTTTTCCCTTAGAACTAATCACCATCTAACATATATATTTTACTTATTTATCTTGTTTATTGTCTAACTCCTGCTCTACAATGTAAGCTCATGAAGTGAGATATTTTTACATTTATTCTGTTCATCACAGTATCCCATGGTGTAGAACCTGGCATATATTGCCTGGATCAATAAACGTGTATGAATGAATGAAATGCAGTGTGTATAAAATGACTGTGAAGTTAAAAAGACAAGCAAGACAACTGAGATCAGAAATGAATACTGGAAAGTTCTCACACTCAGATGAAATTCAGAATATCAAAGTACAATATTTAATACAATTTAGGTAATAAGATGAAGTTCACACAGAATGAAATTTCAAATCAGCCACTCGTGTCATAATGTCATATAAAATTCTAGTATGTCTCTATAACTATATATACCTCTATAACTAATATACCTCTGTAATTCTATAACCTCTATAACAATATAGAGTAATGGAAATTTTAATTTAAAAACATATCTAGTTTTTAATTTAAAGAAAATTGTCTGCCACTGACATAGTAATCATGATGGACTAACATAGTAAGTGATACAAGCAACAGGATTTACTTCTTGGACTGAAATAAGAAACTGATTCCTAGGAATTATTTTTTAAAGCAATCTCTCTGGCATCAGGGAGTTCTCAGAGTCTTAACACAGTGTAAAACCAATTAACTCACTTTTTTAAAGATGACGATAGTACTGAATCTAAACATGATGCTAAGACTGTATGCTTCTAACACCTAGCTAAGCATCTAGCATAAGAACAGTATATCCACTAAAATTTTTGAGGATTTGTTTCTTGATATGTTCAAAATTCCAAATACTATATTTGACCTTGTACAGATCTGTACAAATTTTCTTGTAGCTCAGATGATCTGAATTTAGATTCACATACAGATGGATTGATTTTTAACTTTTTCCTATATGGTTTTAATAATATGATAGAGAATCCAAACTAATTTTTAAATAAGAGACTTTTCTTTGAAGCTAAGGTTTGCTACTAATTATCTCATGTGAATTCCAAAAGAAGCCATAAAAAATGGTATAGAATAAATTTCTACAAAGATCATTTTGTTGATTGTTATTTGTACTACATTTTAACTATTATGTGATATGTCATTTAAAAAATAAGAGGTGTGAATAAAAAATACTGCTAACTCGATTTTGGTAAAATAAAAATTATATAGAGATATATAATTGTATGGATACATATGTAATTACATAAATATATATAATTAGAATATATCAAGAAACCTCACTGAACCCATAATGAGTATAGTATTATGAAGAATGTGTTCCATGATACATATTTCTGAATTTTTACCAAGAGCATGTATTACTTTTGTTTTTAAAGCTTTACTGCATCTAAAATTTGTTTTTGAGTTATTACTGTGCTACTTAAGAATCAGTCAAGCATACAAATGAAAAGCTCATAAAAAACACAATCATTTTTTGTTGTTATACATATTTCCAGAGGACTGTTATCATTCAAAGAAGTCAGAACAGAATAAGCATACAAAAATGAGAAGGGGATTCAATGAATGTATAATATGCCTGAGTAGATCTCTTGAAAAAAAAAATCGAAGATAAGCAAAAGTAAAGAAAAAAAGAAAACTGAAAGAAGGAAAAACCATCTTTGAAAGAGGTTAAGATGAATACACTACGTAAAACAGAAGGCTAAAACACTCCTTTTTGTTTTTTGGTAAAATACCTAAAAGTGAAAATATAAAACATAAACTTGAGCTTTCTCAAATAAAAATGGCACTTTGAATACTTACAAATAACTAATGCAAAATTTCAGTGACAGAAAAAAACTGAATAACATCATTTTTAGAATGTATCATGCTGTTCAGTTTAGTTACTTAAAACAAAGTGGCAACATTAAGGACAAGTGATTATTTGCAAGTGACCTTTCCTTTTTGTTTCTAATAATTTAATTTCTATAGTTACATTTTAAACTACAAGTGGTAATAAGGGAAATATTTCAGCCTTATTTGATGTATGACATAGTTAAAAAATATTAACATTTAGAGCTTAGAAAAATTCATATGAATTTATAGAAAAATTCATATAATGAAATTCATATAATAAATTTATAGAAAAATTCATATAAATTTATATGAATAGAGATATTCATATAAATTGTAGTTAATTTATACTTTACCTTTCCCTTCTATAATTCTCATACCATTTTTGTAAATATTGCCAACATGAGCACAGGTTATAGTAGGGAAGGTATTTACATCCGTAACTTAAATCCACATACAAATTATAAAAGACTTTGTCAAAGATATAAGAAATGACATATTACTAGAAACAGTAGGTTGGATGTATTAAAGTAGCTAAATACAATTATCAAGTTAAAGGTCTGAATACTATGCAAAATTCACAGTGTGAAAAATACAATATCAACCTGAATGAACTTATTCCTTTTGATCCATCTGAACATCTATTTTCATTTAAATATAATTACTAGATGTGAATATATTAAATGCCACTGGAACATAGTGGTTACTTTTATTGTATGTGAATTTGACCTCAAAAATAAAGAGAGAGAGAGAGAGAGAGAGAGAGAGAGAGAGAGAGAGAGGGAGATGTTACCAAAACTCTCTGAAGTTCACCTAATAATAATGGGTCGATCTTCTTGTAAGGAAATTATCATCCCTCTGGGTCTAGACATAAACTGAAATCCTAAGACAGCCAGCTTGAAAATGCATGCTATTTGAAATCATGTAGTAAAAAACAATAAACAGAGACATCATTTCCTTCATATGGAATCTCAGTGGGTAAAGTTAAACAAAATTTGAGATCACTCTTCACCTGTTTAATGCTTAATAAAGAATGTAACAAACATAAACAGTAGTTTAGCAAAACTTTAATAAATTTCAATAAATACACTAGTATTAGAACAAGCAATGTGGCTAGTTCATTTAAATTTTTTTGCATCAATTTCCATTTAGTGTTTATTAATGCCAATAAGCAACTGCTTATACATAAAGAGAAAAACCTCAATCTTACATGAATCATAAACCAAATTTGACTTTCATTGTTCATTTCATTAAGGAATTTCATTATCACTGTTTAAAAACATATTTCTTAAAAATCTCTCAGGGCACCATTTTTGAAAGCAATTTCAAAAGCATACAATTTGTAATTAAATTTATCCAGAAAAAAAGAATAGTTGTAATAATCACATTATTTGTTTTTATTTTCAATTTAAAATACCTTTAATGTTCAAATTAACTTGACACATTTAAAATGTTTTAAATATTTTTGCATTTGAATTTAATTCTGTAACAACTAACCTTAATTTACATATTTTAAAATATATATTTCCTAAAAAAATTAACATTCTAGTGAATTCTGGAGTGCTAAATTTAAGGAATTCAGGAAAAAGAAAGATTAAGTGTTAAAGTATTAACAGGAATTTATCACAAACTATCCATCTTTTTATTATAATTATACCAAAATGAACTACATCAAAATATACATATAAACTAAATTGGAAACGTACATCAACAAATTGTATGATAAAGTGTCTCCTCTGTCCATCAGAATATACAGAAAGGACATATTCACCAGGTTTCCCATGACTCTCTCGCACCAAGAAGTCTCCTTGTTGTTTTAACAGATCTTGCGCTTCTATTCTGGGAATTGCACCATGGTACCAGTCCTGTTCTGCCAGGGGCTTCTCACTTATGGGGACTGTATCATAGTACTTGAGCAAATATTGAAAAAAAAAAAAACTAAATTAGAGAAAACAGCAAATATTTTTGGTAAAATTCATAGCAATTAAGAATACTTCTTACATATGTTTCTTTTTCTAACTGACCAATGAACTTTTTTTATGAATCTGAAATTTTCATAGTTTTTCAATAGAGTATCTCCTGGGCAATAAAATAACTCCTGGGGAGCTAAAGTTTAGCATGAATACATATCCTTCAATACTTTGTTTTTGCTGCCTATCACATATAGGAACACACTATATTAGCATTAGCGTTAGACTTTATAGCCTTATTCACTATATTATAAAGTTTTCAACCAGATGAAAAGGGGGTATTATCAGAGAAATCTTATCACAAAACCGTTTCATTTTTACTTAAAAGTTGAGTTATTTCTTTCCATGGAATAAACCCTCGCTCACATGGGCTGTGGACTGCCCATGTTTGTCATATGTTCAGAAGCACCACCTAAGGCTTTACTGAACACTGGCTTGCTGCTGTGCCTCTCATTCTTATCCTCATTCCCCTAATTTCCTTAACCATAACCTCTGCCACATGGCTGGCCCTGATTCTATATGGTGATAACAGATAAACCCTTAGGAGAAATGGCATCACTGATAATACCACCAACGTGCCGTAACAAGCATGCTGGCAAAGACAAAGGGGGGGATATAAGCCATGAGCATGGCAGGAAAGGCAAATTACCTGTATTTTAGGGGGCCAAATGCTAACACCAAATGGCCCAAATAAGAGCTATTATAGTTCCTTGAAATGTTTCTAATTGGTAATAGATGGACTACACATTTTCTGGCTACAAGTAAAAAATTCGTTGTTTGTATCATACACAGGAACTAGATTGCCCCAAATGGTAAGAGTACATCACGGGTAAGAAAAATAATGTGAACTAACTCTTAAGGTACTCAAAATACAACATGCACACTGTCTCATGACAAAGTAATTCATAATTTGGGAAAATTAGAATTAATAATAAATAAAAGGCAAATATTCACACTTGAGGTTTTTCAGTATATTATGAACTCCAGTATGTTATGAATTCCATGTAGAGACAAGGTATAGCTTTGCAGTGAACAAAAAGTAGTTTTGAAGACAGCCTTCATTATTTTGTACTATTCAACAGGCCTAAAACTTACTGGTCAAAGTTCCATTTTATATTCACCAAAACCCATCCTGTTGATTTAAATAATTAACCTTGAAAAATCCCAAATAAACTTCAAAGAAGAGTCCACATTTTGGTTTCCACTTTTCTACTTATAATATTCTTTAATCCTTTAATATATACATGCTGTGATTATACAAGGAAAATTTTTGTAAGCTAAATAAGCCTTTTTCTGTAATTACGCTCAATAACATCTCAAAAAAATTTTGTGTTCCCAAAAATGGGTTTAAACAACAAATTATACAAAGAACCACCTACAACTCTAACAAGTAAAAGAATATTGCTTTTAAAAACAAATGCATAATCCACACAGTAGTAACTAATATTTCATAATTCTTAAAGCAGGTAGTCAAATGATTAAATATTTTTCAAAATTTTATCACAGTGAATTTTATTATAGTAAATACTAAACTTTTTACTATTATAGAACTATTCCAAGTCTTGCCAATGGCAAAAGTGTTTCATTGATGTTTTCAAAGGAAAAAACATCAATAAAATAAGAAAATGTCATCTCTTTACAAAGAACTTTTTAATATTCTCTCTCAGAAAGGTCTACATAAAAGAAAAGCATCACAAACAGGAATGCCATGTGCTTGATTTCTTCTACTAGTCAACCCATCCTCCCAAATTTTGATTTATTTAGAATAGGGAGAATGGAGAACTTCGAGAATACACTAAGTCAGAAAGGCATTTGAAGTATAAAAGCTCAGCTTACGTTGAGAAATTCATTTAAGGATTTGAAGGTGTGCAATATATTTGGGAGAAAAAAATCATCCTGAAACGAACATCTTTGTTTGTTTGTCTGTTTGATTTTTAAAAAAGAAATGACTAGGAAGGAATTTACATTGCTATTTCATAGGGATTACACTCCAGTTCTTCGGATTTATTAGTTTCTTTTGGGTAGGAAGGGAGGCTTAGATAAGATCTGTTTTTCCCCAGTCCCTAGACAACACTGTATGAAATTAAGGGTGAATTTACTGAGTGAGTGTATGTGGTGTAAGTGTGTACACACACACGCACAGGGAAAGACCATACATTTGCCCTGACTGGGTCTATCAGGTCTTTTAAGGATTTCTCTGCAAGCACTGGAAGGAACATTTTTATTAATGTGATTTCAATTAAATTCCAATATAATTTTGCAAACTTATACTAATAGAATGTAGGATGCATCAACAACAAAACTCAATATCCCAAAAGCCATGACAATGACATCAAACATGAAATGAGCTTTTAACCTCAAATACCGTATTAAGATAAAGCAGGGAAATGGGACAAGGATCAGGCCATTGTAAAATCTACTTAGTCTGCAGAAAAAGGCCCAGCTTATTCTTTAACTTGATCTATAAATTGTTCTTCCTCTTCTTACAGCCCTTTTATCAATTAAGTAACTTTGTAACCAGGACAAGAGATAGACCTTGAAGTGTAAATGAACCTGTGTGGATAAAGAATGCTGAGATCTGGATCAACACAGTCACCTAAATAACCCTACTCCTAAGACAAAACTTCAAAGGAATTATGTATTACCTGTATAAACCATGCCTTATGCTGAACACTACCCAAAAAGCCATATAAAACCCCAAACCCTAAACCCTTAAATGTGCCTCCTCTCTGAAGTCACCCACACTCCCACCTGAGTGTGTACAGTCTTAAATCAAATAAATTTTCTTGTTGCATAAGACAATTGCACTTTTGTCTGAACTCTTTTCCATGATAAAGACAAGAATTCTCCAACCTCCACCTGAGGTGGTAAATGTCTTTGTCACTTTGCTATTTCATTCAGCTTTCTATCTTAAAACAATCCTTTCCCTCTCCCTTCTGTCTGACCAGTAGGGAAGTGGAAGTTCTCAGAACATAGACTCAGTCCGTCCAGTGCTCTGCGGCTCCCCCAATCCTGCAGTAGTAGTAGCTTAGTTCCCACACTGTGCAGATTCAAGCAGACCCTGGACACCAGGTGACCCTGGCTTCAGGAGTTGGCAAGGGATTTGCCCCATGCCCAGCAGGAGTTCAATGACCTTCCCTTTCCTCCCTCTGTTCTTCCTTGTTCTCTCCTACCTGTGCGGCTGCTGCCATTCATGGCTACTCTTGCTTTAATTCTTCCCTTATCTACACTCGTCCAAACTGGTCAAGAATTCATTCTCAATCAGAGTCAAGAACCCTCCCCAAACTGGGTTGTGGTTTCACTTAGTGCACAGGAAGAGACCTCCCCAGATGCAGATGCCTTACAATGATATCATTATTTTTATTATGAAAGTATCATTGATATACAATCTCATGAAGGTTTCACATGAACAACATTGTGGTTTCAACATTCACCCATATTATCAAGTCCTTACCATGTCCATTGCAGACACTGTCTACCAGTGTAGTAAGATAGTATAGAGTCATTACTTACTTGTCTTCTCTGTGTGCTATTGCCTTCCCCGTGACCTACCTAGATTGTGAGTGCCAATCATAATGCCTCTTAGTCCCCTTCACAACCCCTTCCCTTTGGTAACCACTAGTCCCTTCTTGGAGTCTGAGTCTGCTGCTGTTTTGTTCCTTCAGTTTTGCTTTGTTGTTATACTCCACAAAAGAGGGAAATCATTTGGTACTTGTCTTTCTCTACCTGGCATATTTCACTGAGCACAATACCCTCTAGCTTCATCCATGTTGTTGCAAATGGTGGGATTTGTTTTATTTTTATGGCTGAATAATATGTACCACCTCTTCTTTATCCATTCATCTATTGATGGACACTTAGATTGCTTCCATATCTTGGCTACTGTAAATAGTATAAATAAACATAGGGATGTCTATGTGTTTTTGAATCAGGGATCTTATTTTCTTAGGGTAAATTTATAGGAGTGGAATGCTCTACATCACCAATCATCAGAGAAATGCAAATTAAAACCACAATGAGATATCACCTCACACCAGTTAGGATGGCCACCATCCAAAAGACAACCAACAACAAATGTTGGTGAGGATGTGGAGGAAGGGGAACCTTCCTGCACTGCTGGTGGGAATGTAAACTAGTTTAACCATTGTGGAAAGCAGTATGGAGGTTCCTCAAAAAACTCAAAATAGAAATACCATTTGACCTAGGAATTCAACTCCTAGGAATTTACCCTAAGAATGCAGCAGCCCAGTTTGAAAAAGACAGATGCACCCCTATGTTTATTGCAACACTATTTATAATAGCCAAGAAATGGAAGCAACCTAAGTGTCCATCAGTAGATGAATGGATAAAGAAGATGTGGTATATATACACAATGGAATATTATTCAGCCATAAGAAGAAAACAAATCCCACCATTTGCAACAACATGGATGGAGCTAGAGGATATTATGCTCAGTGAAATAAGCCAGGCAGAGAAAGACAAGTATCAAATGATTTCACTTATCTTTGGAGTATAAGAACAAAGAAAAAACTGAAGGAACAAAACAACTGCAGACTCACAGAACCCAAGAATGGACTAACAGTTACCAAGGGGAAAGGGACTGGGGAGGGTGGGTGAGAAGGGAGGGGTAAGGGGAAAAAATGGGGCATTACGATTAGCACATATAATGTAGGTGGGGGGACACGGGAAAGGCAGTATATACAGAGAAGACAAGTAATGATTCTATAGCATCTTACTATGCTGATGGACAGTAACTGTAATGGGGTATGTGGGGGGGTCTTGATAATGGGGGAGTCTAGTAACCATAATGTTGTTCAAGTGATTGTACATTAATGATATCAAAATAAAAATATAAACAAACAAACAAACAAACAAATAAATACATTTCTAGGAGTGGAATTACTGGGTCAAATAGGATTTCTATTTTTAGTTTTTTGAGG